ATTCTCTTATAGTTCTAAAGTTCAGACGTCAAAGCTAAAGTGTCAGCAGGGTTACAGACCCTCCAAAGACTCTGGCAAAGAATCTTTGCTTGCTAATTCCAGCTTCTCTTGGACACTCCAATTCCAGCTCCTGGTGGAGGCTCAGGTGTTCCTTGGCTTGTGACTACATCAGTCCAACCCCTGCATCTGTCTCTCATGTGACTTTATTCCTTGCAGATCTCTTGTAAAAATGCTTGTTATTGTATTTAGGACGTCGGTGATCCATGACCTCATCTGAAGGTCCTTAAGTTAATTATATCAAAAAGACTCTTTCCTCAAATCAGGTCACTTTCCCAAGTCCCAAGATTTAGGAAATGACTTTTTTAAAAACAATTTTTTTTTTATAATACCATTCAATTTTCCTTTTTACTTGTTGTCAGGGACCTCTTTAGAGTGTTAAAGAGCACCAATGCCAGGCCAGAGACTAAGGTGTGCCTGACCCACATCATGGTCCACCATGGAGCTCTGAGCTGTTCCCCACCCTACTTCCCCCTTGCAATTCTTTCTCTAGGCTGGACATGTGCACCAGGCTGTGGATCAGTGGTTCCCCTTGAGGGTATGTAGGGCAGTTGCTCTTCAGGGGGTAACTGGAAGTATCTGGAGACATTTTTTGTTGTCACAACAAGTGTAGATAGGGGTGTGTGTGTGTGTGTGTGTGTGTGTGTGTGTGTGAAGGTGTTACGAGTATTTAATGGGTGGAGGTCAGGGGTGCTGCTAAGGATCCTACAAAGCTCAGGGCAGCCTCCCACCCTGACCTCTGGCTCCTGGTGAAGTATTACTGGCTACAGTGTCAACAAGTTCGGTTGAGAAACTCTGCACAAGGTTCACACCTGCTCCCAAACTCTAGGAGGCAGAATCTCGTCCCCCCCTAAATTTCTCCCCTCACCATGCTCTGGCTTTGGAGGCAGAACCCTGCTACGCAGTGAGGGGTCCATTTTGCAGACACCCTTGAGAGAGACATCAGGTTGTTAACCTGAAGGCTGGGGGTCTGAGTCCACCAGCAGTTATACACAAAAAAGAGTGAGCAGCTTCGTCCTGTAAGGATTTACAGCCTTGGAAACATGATGGAAAGCAGCTATGAATCAGGCTTGATTTGATGACAGGAGAGTGATGATGTTAATCTATAGTTATCACCAATTGAGCTCCATCGTGAAGCAGGGATTGGGCTGAGAATTACATTATGCTTGGTCATCGAGAAAGAGGAAGACCCTTGATGAGATGGATTGATACAGCAGCTGAGCCAATGGATTTAGACATAGCAGAGATTGTGAGGATATCACAGGATTGGGCGAGGAGTACAGTGTGACTGTGAGCTGTGATTCAAGGGCACCTAACAACAGCATATTCATTTAATTCATTTTAATTAATTAATCACCTAATTAAAAGAAAACAATTCTGTTTCTCATTTGTACTAGCCATATGTGGACAAAACATATACAGAGCATTTCCATCATTGCAGAAAGTTTATTAGACAACTCTGGCTTAGAGATATTATGTCACCTTCCCAAGGTTACAGCTTCTAGGGGGTGTTCCAAACCCAGAGAGCTGTGACCCAGGACTATCTTTCGGAGTAGTGGGGGAAACGTGGAAACCAGGAATTTCCGGCTCGGTTTTTGCTTAACTACTAATTTCCAAGGTTCTCTCAGATGATTATTTCACAAAATTTGTTTGTGTGTGTATGTGTTTAGTCATTCTCTGCAGAGAATGAAGGTCACATCCCTTAGCATTGCTCCTCCATTCTTCCCCAACTCTAATCTCATCTGCATACAGTCAGCCATTGAGGTTCAAAGTGGGTGGGGATGGAGAACACTGCAGATGTGTTTGAAATGATGAAGCCAGGACACCAGGCTGTTAAAAGCCTTAGCTTATTGTTGCTGCTGCTGCTGCTTCCTTTAATGACATTTAGGAAGTCTGTCTCTCCATCAATGGAACATTCAGTTACTCAACAAATAATTGATGAGCACTTGTCCTGGTCCCAGAGCCCACATCTGTCCTTCTTGGTCTCCTGAGTTTGTTAGAATGGGTCATTTTATAAAGATAGCCATTTTAGATTATGGACTTGAAGCTGCTTTGGGAAAAGACTTGGCTGTCATCAAAGAAGAGCCTTCAAGACCTGGGAGGAAGGGAGCATCTTAGAGGGGTCCTCACCAACATTCGAAGTGGCACGGTTGGCCATCTTCTTTGAGCAGCCCACTGCTGCCTGTTTCCTACCAAAACCCAAACTAAAACCACTACAGTGGGCTTACAGGACAGAGGAGAAATGCTGACTCATAGGGGCCCTACTTGGGATGCAAATCTTTACAGAAGTAGACTGCCACATCTTTCTCCCATGGAGCACCTGGTAGGTTCAAACCATCAACCTTTTTGTTTGCACTCAAGTTCTCTAAGTCAATGTACTACCAGGCCATTTCACTTGTTTCCTACTTGGATCAAAATATCATGAAAAAGAGATTTGACTGCAATGTGCATCCTCAGTTGATGACGAGTGAACTTCAGTTTACCTACAGGGCTAACCTCTGTGCTGATTTATTAATGCACTCCTAGGTTAGGAGGAACTGCGATTAGATTAGGTCCAAAATGGCCAACAGAAGTCCATTTTACCTCAGTAGCACCTAGCTTATCAATCTTCACGTGTTCCACTTAATTAGTGACAACTTCCCATTTTCCTAGATTCACACTCGATAAATTTCAAGTTTCAATTATCAATGGATGCTTGCAGCTGTTTCTTCTCATTTGGAGTCAAGCCACACATCAGCAAATGAAGATGCTGAAAGATTTATTCATCCGTGTCATTGAGGTTAATTCTACTTCTCAGCTGTATTTTGAGTGCCTTCCAGCAGGGGCACAACTTCCGGCACTACAGCAGATAATGTTCTGTTGCCCCTCGTGTTTTTCACCGATTTTATTTATTTGTTTTTTAAAAAGATAAGTAGATCACTGGGTCCTTCTTCCTGATCCATCTTGGTCTGAATGTTCTACTGAAACTAGTCCACTACTGGTGACTCCACTGGTGTTTGCAATCCCAGTGGCATAGGCTATGCTACTGAGCAGAATTACAACACGCAAGCCATCACAGTGTGAGAAATTGACAGATAAGACAAGTGCTAGTACAAAAGACATAACAATTTTTTTTACATAACAAATTTAGTGTAACATTGAGAAGAATGAAAATTCCAGAACATTTAATTGTGCTCAGGTAGAACCTGTATGTAGATCAAGAGACAATAATTTGAACAGAACAAGGAGGTACTTTATGTTTTAAGCTCAGTAAAGGTGTGTACCAGGCTTGTATCTTTTCACCGCACATTATACAGTCTGAGAAATTAGACTATATGAAGAACTCAGTACCAGGACTGAAGGAAGATTCACAACCTGCCACATACAGTAGATGATAGAATTTTGTTATAAAAGAGAATTTGGAGTACTTATTTGAGATCAAACCTTACATTACAGCCTTTAGTGTGAATTACTCTGCAACATAGAGAAAACAAAAATCCTTACAACTGCACTATCTTAATAAATGTGGAAAATATTGAAGTTGTCAATGATTGGATTTTGCCTAGCCCACAATCAATGCTCATGGAACCAGCAGCTAAGAAAGCAAACTACTTATTGCATTGTGCAAATCAGCTGCAAAAGACCTCTTTAAAATGCTAACATGCAGGTATGTTGCTATATGGATTAATGTGTGCCTGACCCAAGCAAGCCGTGTTCAGTTACCTAGCATGCATGGGAAAGCTGAACAAACAGTACGGAAGACTGAAGAAGAATTGATGCTTTTGCTTTATGGTGTTGGCAATGAATGTTGAATAGACCACGGATAGCTCGAAGAACTGATAAATCTATCTTGGGAGAAGTATGGGCAGTGAGGATATTGAAACTTTATCTTACATATTTTAGATACATTATCAAGAATGACCAGTCCCTGGAGGAGGATATCATTCTGTGTAAAGTAAGTCAGTGAAAAAGAGGCAGACTGTCAATAAGAAGGATTGACACAGTGCCTGCAATGATAGACTGGAACATGCTAACATTGTGAGGATGGTGCAGGGAAAGGCAATATTTCCTTCTGTACATAAGTGGACTCTAGTGGTGTAGCTCATTGAGTTGCACTGCTAGCTGAAAGGTCAAGCTTCTCTTGACCTTCTTGGTGGTTCGAATCCACCAGCTGCTCTGTATGAGAAAGACTGGCAAGAACAATCTCCTCTTGTGTAAGACTACAGGCTCTGAAAATCCGCTGCAGAGTCAGTGACAAGTCTGTTCCCATTGACAACAATGACTTTGACGTTTTGATGAATTGGTTTTAACTCCATGGCATCTAGAAGACTTCTCTTGGTACAGCAATGTGCTTAGGTCAGATCTGTCATTATTCCAATTACACTCACTCTGGTCTTATAAGCATGTCCTGTTGATTTCACTACTGATGGCACTTTCATAGCTATTGACTTTTTAAATGTTCTGGTAGTTCAGCTACAATATTGTGGGAAATAGTAATTTCTGTAACAATACAATAGTAATAACTAACAGTACAGAAACCTTTTTCGGGGGAGAAAAGAATTGATAAAGGGAAAGGATAAAAAGATAGACTTTTTTTTTTTTTTATGCGTGTACCGTCAAATTGGATCTGACTGGTACAGGAGGCGATTGTTCCTCCTTCTTCAGCAGAGCATCTGGTGGATTTGAACTCCGCACTTCTGGGATTACATTGCAGTTTCCTGCCACTAGGCCACCAGAGCTCGCCAAAAGATAGACTTTTTGGTTACTAATAATGTTGTAATTTAATGTAGATAGGTTTTACAAAGTAATTTTCTTCTTAATATTTATACAAGATCTAATATATTTAAGCAATTGGTCATTCTACCACAAATTGTTTATTCAAAAATTAAAACGGATAATCAATAGCTATGAGGATTCGGTATGTTCTGGTACAAGAGGAGGTCCAGAGAGCGGTGACATCAATCCTAGTGACGCCCTTGCCTAGCAGGTGACCTCAGGTTGGGGTCCTCCTGCCAGAAGCAACAAGTCGTTGGAGGGCGGGGCGAGGCGCGGGGCTGAGTACCCGCGGCCGCCGCCAGAGGGCAGCCGGGGAGCGCGGGCGGCCTGGGCCGAACCCCCAGGTAAGTCGGCCTCAAGTGGGGCCGCCCCCCCTTGTCGCGGCCCAGTCTCTGAGGGCTCAGAAGTGCGCCTAGCTCCGCAGTGGGGGCCGGCGGGGGTGCGCCAGGGGCCCCGGAGCTCCGAGTGGGATCTGGGCAGCTCTCGGGACACACGGTGGGGGTGACCCCGGGGGCCGGCGGGGCGCGGGCCGGGCCTGGAGCCGAGCTCCTCTCCGGGCCGCTCCCCACGCTGCTTTCGCGGAGCCAGAGGCTCGACGCACCCCGGCCAGGACAGCGCCCCTGGGCCTGGTCACCCCGGAACTGTTCGCACTCTTGTCCTCCCTGCAGCCTGGCTGGAGGCACTCGGGGGAGTCCATGGGGACGCCCCGAGTTAGGGGGCGGCAGAGAGTGAGGCGGGGGGCCGGTGGGGGCGGGGCGGGAGAGTTGCGAGGCGGCGGACGGCAGGCGGCGCCGGAGGGAGCGTCCGCGCCCGCGCCCGGGAGTCAACAAGTGCGGCGGGAGGACCCGGGGCTCGCGGCCGCCAGGGGGCGCCCGGCCCTCCGCAGTTGGCCTCTCCCCCCCGCCCCCCCCCCGTGTGGGTCCCACGCTGTCGAGGATTGGGCGGGCGCTGGGGTGCTCCTGGGTCCTGCGTATTTGGGCCTTCGCCCCTGGTTAGGTGGTCAGAGGTGCCTTCCAGAGGTGTGTGGGCCTGGGGGCGACATTTCTGCCTAGATCACCTTAGCGCAGCCTCAGGTCCGCCTCCACCTGTTCCTCGCAGTCAGCCCCGCCTCTGGTTTTCCCGGGTTTGGGGACAAATGCGTGAACGGATCCAGGCCGCCTCACCTGCCTGCAGGATGAAGGCCCTGGGCTCACAGTGGGGTCACCACAACCTACGCGGTTGGTGCCTTGGCCTTTCCTGGGCTGCTGAGGGGCCCTGCTGGAAGACGTAGGGCTTTGCCCCCGGTCTTGCTGCTCCGTGGGTTGAACGATCTGATTCTCCACCGAGTGAGCCCTCACACCCCCAGGGTTGCTCTGGGGAGAGATGGGAGCCTGGAAGTGAAAACCCCAGCCCTCGGGGGATCAGAGAGAGGGGAATAAATGATGAGTGTCACCCTCCATCTGTGCAGCCGCTGGGCTTTCAAAGGAGCCACTCAGTGTCGCTTCGCCTTTGATCCTCCCAGCAGTGTGAGGGCAGGGGGACACAGGGGAGCGTCCTTGGGGACCCTGGTAAGGACATTGGCAAAGCCATGCCTGCGCCGTGAGTCTTCACCCTCTCCCCACCCCCACCTCGGAGACACTGGCCCCTCACTGGTTTCCAGGCCCCTCCACCGCCTCCCTCTGACAACCGCTTGGCCTCCCGGCTCTTGGGAGGGGAGGAGTGGAAAATGCATCGGAGACGTAAGCTTCGTTTCCTTTTCTCTCTCGCTGTCACATTTTCCCAACAAGTGCTCTGCACCTGCTGCCTTCCTTCCGCTCCAAGCCCCCCTCCTTAATCCTCCGCAGCCTGGCTGCTGGCCCCGCCACTCCGCTGAAAACTGCTTTCTTGAAAGTCGTCTTGTTTCCAAACGCTGCTCCTTTGGCGGCTGCCCGCCTTCTGCCCGGAAGGCGGATCCTCCGAGCACCTGTTCTCCTTGCAGCCCTCACTGTGTACTTTCTGGGGCTCTCCTCTCTCCTGGGAGCTCTTGGGCCAGGATGATTGGAGGGTCAACTCTACCCTAGAGGTGCCTCGGAAGAAAAGTGCGGCAGTCTATTTTCCCAAACCAGCCATTGACACACACACACACCCCCACCCCGCCCCCAGCACAGGTCTGTGTGAACCCATGAGCATGACGTACGTTAGAGTCAACTGGAGAGTTACTGCATTTGTTTCCTTTCTCCTGACTCTGGGCTTGTTTTCTCCATTGCTCTTTCTCCTTCCCTCTCTTAACTAGAACTATAATTGAGATTTTTCTTGTCCCTGTTCCCTTTCTCTGTATATCCCCCAAACCTGGCACACTCTAGGGACTCATCAAGGAAATCTTCATCATCATCATAATCATCAGTTGCCATTGAGTTACTTTTGATTTCTGGTGACCCTTTTGTGTCAAAGAAGAACAGTGCTCCATAAGGTTTTCCGTGGTTGTTTGGATTTTTTTTTTAAAACAGATCGCCAGGCCTTTCTTCTGAGGTGTCTATGGATGGATTCAAGCCAAGCTTTTGACTCTCAGTCAAGCATGTTAAATATTGTCATCATCCATTGTCTTCTCCAGTCACACCTCCCTGCCATCCTTCACGGTCCAGTTCAAACCCTGCTTCCCTCCTGGACCATTCCATTCTGTCCGAATTTCCCTTCATCTGCACTCCTGCTGTGCATATTGATGGATTGATTACGGTTGGTGTCATGAAATTTAATACCTTGTTCTCTGCCATTAACTTTTGATTGGCTTATGGGTATGAGCTATGCTTTTCCAGCTCCTAATAATGGCAGCCCTTCACTGAGTGGTCTGTATGAGGTGAGCGGTGTGCTAACCACTCTGTTTCATCCCCACTGTGCCTGGAGAAGGCAGCATTGTGGTGATTGTGTTCATTTTACCCCTAAAGACACAGCTCAGAGAAGCTTAGGGACCTGCCTCACTCACACAGTGGTGCCCTCCTGCGTGAGGCTGGGATTGGCACTCAAGTCTGCTTGACTCCTCAGACCATTGTTAGATGGTTAGACTTACTGTTTGTCCAGGAAAGCACATCTTCTGTGTTCCCATGGCACCTGGCCCAGGTGTGCAGGAAGTACTGATTGCTTGGGACTCCAGTGGACACCAGGAACTCTTTGTGACAAAACAGGTGGTTAATGGGAGAACCAGTGACTCAGGGCGGCTGTGGCATCCACCCTGGGAGCCTTTGAAGCAGACTGTTTCTGTGTCTGCTGTTGCTTTGAGTCAAATTGGTGGAACCAAGAACCCTCTAAGGGCTTTTGGGTCATTGCTATCCCTAAAGGTACTTTAAAATGCATTTTTTTGGGGGTAAACAAAATCCCAGCCCCTCTGAACAGTCAGCCTTGGAACTAGTTTCTTTAGGAGATGTCCTTCCCTCCTCTCGGCAGGTCACTGTCATATGAAAATGAGTGCCTGCTGTGAAATACAGTTGCCGTGGCAACCAGTAGTGTGAGGCCCTGAGTCTCTGCTCCTAGGTCTCTGCACTGCAAGCTTTGAGGGGCTTTTTCCATCTTTGTCGCCTGGAAAAAAAAAAGAGAGAGAGAGAGAGAGAGAATAACAGCAACACTGTTCTTCACTCTCTTTTTGCATAGATTAGGGGGAAAAAAAGATTTTTCAGGGAACAATTTCTGGACATTACTGGTGACTTGGCACCTTGCCTCTGGTCTGCTGTCACACCATTAATAATGACTCTGAAACAGCGACCCTGGTCAAGGCCACATTTTGAGTGAAGTCCACTGTCCCCTGGGTGAAAGGACAGTGGCAGCGGCTGCTGTGCATTCTGGATGTCTGGGGAGGGGCTGGGGGCAGAACAGCCACAGGGTGGTCTGGGGAGGGTTCTGGAGAGAGGTGGGAAGGCCAGTCTGCAGTTGTGTCTCTTCCTCATTATGCACAGATAATCCTGGCACGGGCTTCCCCAAGGAGAGTGCCTTGGGGGCACTGTCAAAGACAAGGTCCCTCTGGCAATAATCAGAAGCTGTGTTGAATGTTTATTCTATGCAGACACCGCACTCTTTATTTAATCTGCATCCAAATGAAGGGAGAAGGACAGCTGTTCTCCCTGTTTTACAAGTAACGAAGCCTGACGCACAGAGAGGATTAGGGCTTGCCCAAAAACACACAGCCAGTAAATGGTACAGTGGGGATTGGTCTTAGGAGATGTGACCCTTGTGGCCAATATCTTGACTGGATGACATGTGTGTAGATAGTGAAAGAACTACATTTAAAGGCTGAACCAGGTGACTTTCTCAAGACTTGGGGATTAAAGCAGTGACTTTCAACTTTTCATATGATGGACAAGAGGGCTCTGGGAAGTTTGAGCGATTTGTGCTCTATTATTAACCTAACGGTTGGCTGATGAAACCTACCCCGTGGTCCTGAGGGGAAAAAGCCAGGCCATCTGCTTTTCTAAAGATTACAGTCAAGAAAATCCCGTGTTCTACTCTATAACACATGGAATTGCTATGAGTCAGAATTGACAGCATCAGAATGTGATGATAGACAAAGGCTGCAGTGAAGAGGGAATGCATTAGAATGTTCACAGCAGCAGGGTTTATAATAAATCAACAACAACAATAATAATAATGCCTAGACATCATCCATCTGCAGTAAAAAGGAGAAAGGAATTAGGAATATCCATACATTAGAGCTCTCACTATTCAGGGAGCTCTGGTGGCCTTGTGACAAGAACCTGTGCTGCGATCCCAATCCGAAAGGCACGTGGTTTGAGTCCATGAGCTTCTCCCTGGGAGAAGGATGGGCAGTCTCCTCTCATGCGATTAACTGCCTCTGAAAACGCACCAGAAGGTCAGCTATTGGTTGGTTCCAACTGGATGGTACACAATAACAACAGAGCACTATACATACAGCAGTGAGAATGAGCAGTCTACAACAGCACATAACATGGGTGAATCACACAAACTGGAGTATAAGGTGCCAGACTCAGAGGAGCACATCTTCTGCTCCCATTTATAAAATGCACAAAAGAGGCAGAAGGAATTTCATGTCTGAGAAGGCAGAGTAGGAGGCTCGGAGAGGGACAAGGTGGGATGCTTGTTTCTTGGTCTCGTGCAGGTCGCACAGGTGTGCTCCTACTGCTTGAATACACTGACTTTAATATATGCATCTATGTGTGTATGTGAGACTATTATGCTTTTATAAAATGGACTCATACAAGGGAAAAAAGCAGCAGTGACCCTCAGCCCAGGAATTAAATGCAGTCGCACACCCCCCCATGAAGGCACACTTTTCCTTTCACTGCACCTGGGAGCTTAGATTTCTGGAGACAGGTAAGAGGTAACCAACACCCTGGCTCATGGAGCAAGGTCAGGGTCAGCTCTGGCTTCTTCCTATCCTCTTTGATTGTACCAGTTTTGGGGAGCACTTGCCCAGCCAGAAGGTTTAGCTGAGCCCCTGAAGTGTCCTGTTCCTCCGGGCTGGGATGCTTTGGAAGGTAAGCGAGGTGATGTGTTTCTGCGGCTCTGGGAGATTCTGGCTGGACTGGAGAGATGGTGGGTTTTACTGGTGCTGCAGCCCTTGGCATAGACATCACCGCTCTGTCAGTGAGGAACTAACTGTCTGCACAGCAGCAGCAGCAGCTCAAGGACTGCGCCAGCCTGTGGAGTGAGCACAGACACAGGGAAGGCAGCTCCGTTCACATGGCAGTTCCGTGCTGCTAAAAATATCGGAGCACCTTATGTAAGCACGCAGCTACGTGCTTGCACCTTATGTAAAAGCACCCATTACACCATAGACAGGTAATCAGTTGCGTGTTGCGATGACTTTGACAGGCGTCATTACAATGTTGTTGGTGGCAGCTGGGCTCATACCTAATTTCTGAGTGGGCGCACATTCCTCTTTGGGCCAAGCCACCCAGGGTTGCTGCTAGAATCCGTACAGTTTCATCTTTCCTCCCTCATGCTCATCATACTGCCATGCTCATCTGCATCCTCTAACTCACAGGGACCAGCATCTTGGTGAGCAGGGGCCTTTCTCATTCAGTAACTAGTAGCAGAAGGAGCATATGGCCTGGGCTTGGCTGCTGCCAATGATAGGCTGTCTTCCTCATTGCTAGCTGATGATTGCTAGTAAGGAAGGTGTGCCTGATTCAGCCCGTGGTCTTTCCAGTCGCTTTCTCTGCATCCGAGAGCTAGACAGTTAATAAGGCTGACAGAAGAAGTGATGCCTTTGAGTTGTGGGGCTGGAGAACAGTACTGAGTATCCCATGGACTGCCCAGAGGACTGATATATCTTGGCAGTCTGAGGGCTCCTTGGAGACAAGGATGTGAAACTTTGTCTCTCATTCTTTGGACATTTTGCTAGGAGAGACTTTTAGGAAGGGATATTATGCTTGAAAAGGTGGAGGGTCAGCAAAAGATAGGAAGATCCCCGATGGCATGGATTGAACCCAGCAATGGGTTCAAGTGTATCAGCACAGCTTTTCCCCCCTAGGCTACCAGAGCTCCCTGGGTTCACGTGTATCAGAAATGATGGTAATGGCACAGGATAGGACAGGATTCAGGTCTGTTGTTTATAGGATTGCTCTGAGTTGTACTCATCTTGATGACACCTGACAAAAACAACAACAATGAAGAATACTGAAGGCACAGAGTCAAGACAGAATACTCAAACCCAAAGCCAAGACAGTGGCAGTTGAGTTGATTGATTCTGGCTCATGGTGACCCCATGTGTGCAGAGTGAAAACTTTGTTGCACAGCGTTTTTGTTATCATCACCAGACTTTTCTTCTTTAGTGATGCTGGATCGGTTCGAACTGCCAACCATTAGGTTAGGAGGTGTGCATAAGCTGTCTATGCCATTCAGGAGCCTTAAATAATATGGAGAAGGATTTGTTTTCAGTAGATACTCCCTTCATATGCACTCATATAATACAGGATCTCTTTAATTTTGTTCTAGTATACGTTATATTCTCCAAGGCCCTCTTTGGTTTAACTGTACAATTGTGTTTTAAATTCTTGAAAGGAAAAGTGTATCTTTTTTAGATGAAAAACATTACCTAGAGACTATAATGTTAAAGAGTACCTCTGGGAGATGGCTTTTTAACATTGAGAATGTGCTAATGCAGTTGAGTTGTTCACTTTAAAATGATATATTTTTTTTTTAAAAAAAGAAAGCCAGCAAGTCTAAACACCTTGATGTAGAAATCTCTTCATCCATCTCTGCATTATGGATGGGCTGTGACAAGGATTACACTGTTTCAGGAGAACCCTCAGTCAGTGGACTGACACAGCGGCTGTAGCAATGGGCTCAATCATAGCAACAATTGTGAGGATGACACAGAACTGGACAGTGTTTCCTTCCTCTGTAATGAGTCATTGTGAGTCAATTGAGTGATACCTAACAACAACCACCACCTTTGTGTAGAAATTCTTTCTTCTTTTGAGCTGCAAACAGCCTCTTTTTCCATCTGTGTCCAAGTCTGTCTCCATGGAGCCATTGTAGATAAGCTTTCCCATAACCTTTTCAACCTATATGCAGAACAGATTATCCGGGAGGCTGGGCTCTATGAGGAGAAATGTGGAGTCAAGATTGGTGGACGATTTATCAACAACCTGCGTTATGCGGATGACACAACCCTGCTTGCTGAAACTGAAGAGGACCTGAAGCGCCTGCTGCAGAGTGTCAAGGACTGCAGCCTACAATATGGATTGAGGCTCAATGTCAAGAAGACAAAGATTCTCACCACTGGACCAGTTGGCAGTATCAGGATGGATGGTGAAGAGATTGAGATTGTACACAGCTTTAGTTTGCTTGGCTCCATAGTCAACAGTCTTGGCACCAGCAGCCAGGAAATTAAAAGGCGCATTGCCATGGGAAAGTCTGCTGTTAGGGACCTCTCCAAAGTACTGAAGAGCAATGGTGTCTCTCTGGAGACTAAGGTGCGTCTGATACAGGCTATCACTTGTTATGCATCAGGGAGTTGGACAATGACTAGGGAGGATAGAAGGAGAATTGATGCCTTTGAGCTGTGGTGCTGGAGAAGAGTATTGAGAATACCATGGACTGCTAGGAAAACAAACAGATTTGTCCTGGAAAGGGTTAAACCTGGTGGCTCCTTGGAGGCAAGGATTCTGAGGCTCCGTCTAACATACTTTGCACATGTTGTGAGGAGAGACCGGTCCTTGGAGAGGGACATCATGCTTGGGAGGGTGGAGGGACAGCGTAGGAGAGGAAGGCCCTCTATGAGGTGGATTGATTCAGTGACTGGGATAATTGGGATGGGAGTGTCAGAGACAGTGCGATTGGCACAGGACAGAGCAGAGTTTAGGGCTGTTGTACATAGGGTCGCTATGAGTCTCAAGTGACTCGATGGCACATAACAACAACAACAACAACAATTGTTATGGGGCAGGATTTACATACGGCTTCTGCCTGACTTCTCTGGAGAGATCTCTGCACTGACCCAGCGGTTCCTTAGAGACTCTGTAGACGGAACATAGACCACACACCTAGATGCAGTGCTTATGCTCACGGACTCTGTCCTTGGTTAGTCAAGCTCTGATTCATCTCTGATCTTCCTAAGGCCCTAAGCTGACCCTCTGTGCCATGCTTGACCATGGTAACACGTCTTCATCTTTTTGAATTATGAAAGTAATTCATGTGTACTGAGGACGTTTTAGGAAGTAAACACACAAAAGAAACAAAAAACCAGGGACCCCAGCCTCCAGAAACACCATAACCAGTTTCTGTGACATCGACTGTGGCTCATGGTGACCTCAGCTGTGTCAGGGTACAACTGTGCTCCATTGAGGTTTTTTGGGAGAGGGTGTCCCCATCAGTGAACTTTTTTCCACAAATGGTATTGTCTAGAACATGCATAGCAAAGCATACACCAGTTCATCAGCTTGTACTATTATTATTGTTGTTATGGCCTGTCAAGTTAGAACCAATCCATAGCTGACCCTCCACTGCTTTTAAGAGACAGTGAATCACATGGGAGCAGATTATCCATCTTTTTTCCTGCGGAGCTGCTGGTGGATTCGAACCACATGCCTTTGTGTTGGTAGCACAGCTTCTTACCACTAGGCCACTGGAGCTAAGTGACGTTGGTTTCATTCTCCAACTTGTGTAACTGTTATTACTCATCTTTGCTGAATTAATCCTCCTTCATTACATAAACTAACTACACCCTAAGATTCCTATCCAGTCTTTTGAGTTGCTCTTTTCAATTTTATCTCATATAGATAATACTTAAAAGACCATAATGCTTAAGGCAATCCTTTTTACTAGCCAAGCTAAAAACTATTGTGAGATTTTAAGATTTCAGGCTTTTTTAAAAAATAAGATTTTAAAATTATATCAGGGCAATAGTTTGTAGGCTTTATCTACACCCTGATTCCTGGAAGTAGGGGTCAAGAGAATATGAAATTCAGTTCTGAAATTATTTCTCCCTTTTGATCAGGATTCTCTGGGACATTAATCCAAATGTTCCATAATGGTAGCTGGCCAACATTTAGTTCTGGTCTCATGTTATTCACAGAAGCCACACAGTTCCATATCTTCCCCTTCTACCCTGACTCTTTCCACTCCCCTCCTTGCTCCAGATCAATTGTTGTGCCTTGGATGGCTGCTAGCAAGCTTTTATAGCCCCAGGCAGTGAGCACACAGGTAGAGCAGAAGCACTAGACATGTTAGTGGGTCAATTAACTGGGATGTCTCTTGAATCCAGGACCTGAAAGAAACCAAATCCCATGAGGTGTTTGGTGATACATAAGCAACCTCAGAAGCAACTTTTTGGAGTCACTGTTGTACATATATTTATCACATAGATTTTGCCAATTCAACTATTTACAGGCAAACAACTTATTGACAGCAATTATGATAGTTGACTGTGCAACCCTGCCCTTAATCAGTGTCATTTCCCCATCACTGCTAACATCTTTCCTTGCTTCCCACCCCTAGTAATCATGAAGAGACTTTAGTCTCTATGATTTTGCCTCTTCTTGCCTCATAGAATTCTTTTTCATGGCTGCTTTTTTGGAAGTAAATTGCCAGACCTTTCTTCTGGAGTAACCCTGGGTGGACTTGAACCTCCAACCTTTCTGTTGCCAACTGTTACACCTGTGGATTCCAGTCTCCAGAGAGAACCATTGATTAAAGTTGGCAATTTCAGATCTTATTACAGAAACTATTTTATACCTTGCCTTTTATTTAACTATGCATGTGGCTGTTGACTGACATGTACATGACACATTCCCCTCCCTAAACCCCAGTTTGGTGTTTGCTCTTCCTTTTGTTTTGGGGGTTGTTTTGTTTGTGTGTTGTTTTTTTTTTCTGTCAGGAACTGAGCATCACAGAATGAGTTTATTTCTGCTCTAAATGAGTTCAATATCACATACACCTTTCACTGAGTGATTTTATGGGTCGCAGCCAACACAGAACTGCCTTAGGAAATCGTTGGCCTCAGCGCGTCTGTTTCAAGGAGGAGCCACATTACATGCGTCCACTGCTGAATCCTTTCCTCCAGTCCATCTTCCCCTTAATGACTTGAAGATCAGCCCCCTTAGGGACTGTGGTGTGCGCGTTCTTCATGAACTTTTCTTGGACTTTATCCTGTCCCTTTTTCACGGAGATGTCTAGCTGGAGTAAGAGCACAGAGTTCAGCACCTCCTGATACCAGGCACAGTAGGTGGAGCTCATGCACTCTCAGTTTGGCTTCGTTCATGTCTCCGCTGAAGATGGGTTTCACTGAGGTGTGGGCCACCCAGGGACCTGCCTAAGACTGCCCGCCATGAGCCTGCTCTTCCTTTTGTTTTGATGAGGAAAATCTGCTGTCAGGGACCTCCCCAGAGTGCTGAAGTTGGAAAGTGTCGGTCTAGAGACCAAGATGTGCCTGATCCAGGCTATGGTCTTTGTAATTACTTGCTATGCATCTGAGAGCTGGAAATGACTAGGGTGGAACAGAAAAAGAATTGATATCTTAGAATTGGGGTGCTGGAGAAGAGTCTTGAACATACATGGACTGTTGAGAGAACAGGTCTGTCATAGAGAAAGTGAAATGAATTTTCTCCTTGGAGGCAAGGATTTTGAAGCTCCATCTCATATATTTTGGACTAGTCCTTAAAGAAAGACATCATGCTTGGAAGGGTGGCAGGTCAGTGCAGGAGAGCAAGACCCTAGATGAGATGGATTGATACAGTAACTGGGGCAATGGGGTAGGTATGTCAGAGACAATGATATGGGCTCAGGACAGGACAGGATTCAGTGCATGGAGTCGCTGTGAGTTGCAGTCGGCTCAACATAAAACAACAACAAATATAGATGTTTTTCATGCTTATGTGGTTAAATCCATCAGTCCTTGCATTTTATGATTTTTCCTTTGCTTTTGGGTCTGAAAGGTCTCCTCTACCCAAGATCATTCTTTTTTTTTTTAAATCTTTTACATTAGTTTGCATACACAATGCATATACAATGTTTTTGCCACTTTCCTTTGTTGATATTGTGTTTCATAGTTATTCCAATACATTGTATTTTATCAAATCACTCAATCCTAATCACTATGCCCACCATTACCCTGTCTTTTAAAGTCCCTACTGAATCGTTCCCATTTCTTTTTCTTCCCCACTCCACCCACCAAATTTTGAGACCCCCATGATTTCCCCTCTGCCCTTACCCCTCTGTTCCCACTCCTTTCCCCCTCCTTGGATCCCTATACACATTTTACTACTTATCCTTCTGTTTTTACAATAATGGTCTTACGCAGTGTTTGTCCTTATGAGACTGGGTTCATGCAGCATAATGTTCTCCATCTCACCCAAGTTGTGTAGTAGTTTTTTAAATTATTGTTACTGAGTGCTGTGTAGTATTCCATCTGGTGATTGTACCACAGTTTCTCAATCTGTGGTTAAACGTTTGAACTGTTGCCATATCCTTGCAATTATGAATAACGCTGCTATGAGCACTGGTGTACAAATCTCCATTTGTGTCTCAGTTCTAATTTCCTTGGGGTATATTCCTAACAGTGGAGTAGCTGGCTCATATGAAATTTCTATGTTTAGCTTCTTGAGGATGTGCCAAATTGCTTTCCAGAGTGGTTGTACCATTTTACAACCCCACCAACAGTATACGAGAGTTCCAATCTCTCCACATCCTCCCAAACATATATTGCTTTCTATCCTGTTAAACTTTGCTGCTGCTATTGGGGTGAGATGGTATCTCATTGTGGTTTTGATCTACATCTTTCTTATTGCCAGTGATTTTGAGCATTTCTTCATGTGTCTGTTGGCTATCTGAATGTCTTCCTCTGTGAAAAGTCTACCCATGTCTTTTGCCCATTTTGTCATTGGGTTATCAGTCTTTTTCTTGTGGAGGCCCTGTAGGATTCTGTACACTTTTGTTTTGAGACCCTTGTTTTAGATGGTATTACCCAAAATAGGGGTTTCTTTTTTCCCTATTGGAAAAAGATTTTGATGTACACAGGGACTTAATCTTTAGACAGCCACATTCAGTCACTTTATCCTCTCCTGGTTGTGCATTTCTGGCTGTTATTTGTCAGCCTTTTTATTCCATAGGTGAGGCCTTCTAAGCTTGGTCCCATTTTGGTTTCTTTATGGTTTTAGGCTTAATCTCTGGGTCTTTGATTCATCTAGAATTGATATTTATGTATGTTGAGAGGTATGGATCCTGCTTCAGCTTTCTGAAGGTACAAGTCCAGTTTTGCCAACACCATTTGTTGAAGAGGTTGTTTTTTCCCCATTTGATAGGTTTTTGTTTCTTTGTCAATTATCAGTTGACCATAGATGTTGTTGTTGTTATGTGCCGTTGAGTCGCCTGTGACTCATAGCGACCCTATGTACAACAGCCCTAAACCCTCCTCTATCGTGTGCCAATCTTATTGTCTCAGACGCAGCTACCCTCATTACCCCAGTCACTGAATCAATCCACCTCATCGAGAGTCTTCCTATCCTGTGCTGTTCCTCCACCCTCCTAAGCATGACATCCCTCTCCAAGATCTGATCCCACCTTGCATCATGTCCAGAGTATGTCAGATGAAGCTTTAGAATCCCTGCCTCCAAGTTGTATTCAGTACTCTTCTTCAGCATCATGGCTCAAAGGCATCAATTCTCCTTCTATCCTCCCTAGTTATTGTCCAGCTTTTTGATGCATAGCAAGTAATTGCAAAGACTATGCCTATATCAGGCATACCTTAGTCTCCAGACTTACATCATTGCTCTTCAGTACTTTGGAGAGGTTTCTGACAGCAGGCTTTCCTGATGTAATTCATCTGTTAATTTCCTGGCTGCTGGTACCAAGAGTGTTGATTGTAGAACCAAGCAAGCTAAAGCTGTCAACAATCTCAATCTCTTCACTATCTATCATGATGCTGCCAATCAGCCCACAGATAGATGAGTTAATTTCTGGGTTCTCAATTCTGTTAATCTCCGTGCCTGTCATTTTACCGGTACTATGCTGTTTTGGTTATTAGAACTGTATAATAGATTTTGAGATCAGGGAGCACTATGCCTCCCACTTCATTTTTGTTTTTCAGAAATGCTTTGCTTATCCAGGGTCTCTTTCTCAAGGTTACTGTTAATTTTCTGCTGGTTCTGTTTTTGGCTATAGCCTTTTCACATAACTCTCTCCTTTGTAATCAAGTCTCCTCCAAAATAAGCAGAAGATTATTTTAAGACAAAGAAGAATAAAAAAAAAACCCCAAACCCACTTCCATCAAGTCGAGTTAATTAATAGTTACCCTGTGCTACACAGTGGTGGCTTTTGTGTTGCTGTGACGCTGAAGTTATGCCAGTTTGACCATCAGGTTCCTGCGGCTGTAAATCTTTATGATAGGAAACTGTCCATGTTCTTTCTAAGGAACAGCTGGTGGGTTTGAACTTCTCACCATTTGCTTAGCATCCTGACATGTTATTTACTATACCACCAGACCTGTGTTATGAGAGAAGAGACTGATAGTATTTCTTTGCAGATTGTGGATGGGGTTTTTTTGCTTGTTTGCTTTGGGCTCAGTATATTTTCCGACAGTTGATGTTGTTGGCCATTGAGTGGAACTGACCCACAGCTGACCCTTCAGTGGGCTTTCAGAGAATGTACGTCACAGGAGGAGATCGCCCATCCTTCTCCCACAGAGCAGCTGGTGATTTCAAACCATGTGCCTTTGAGACCTCAGCACAGCTTCTTACCACTAAGCTACCAGAGCTCCCTATTTCCCCACTAAATATATTTGACATAATTTCATTTTGAGGGCCTATTATTTCAAGTGGATGGCCAATCCTATTGCTTTGTCTTAGTTTAGAAACTTCACTAAAAACTGTGCACCATGAGTACCCTGCTGGTGTTTGAAGTACTGGAGGTATAACTTCCAGCACTACAGCAACACACTAAACCACCACATACAATAAACTGACAAATAAGAGTCAGAAGTCTTTATAACTGGACAAGAAGGCAACATCATGACAAGGTGCAGAACAGATTGAAGCTTCCAGTTACTTCACTTCACTTGGCTCCACAACAACACCCATAATAGCAACATTTAAGACATATTCCATTGGGGAAATTAGCTCTCAGGGAGTTCTTTAACATGTTTAAGAGCAAGGATAAACACTTAAAGACTAAGGTGTGCCTCACCCAAGCCATGATAATTTAATTGCCTTCAGTTGCATGTGGAAGTTGGACAATGAATAAAGGAGAATACATAAAAAGACCAAGGAAGAATTGATGCCTTTGAGTTTTGTGCTGGCAAAGAGTATTAAATGTGCTATGGACTGTCAAAAAAGAGCAAACAAATCTGTCATGGAAAAAGTGCAACCAGGGTGCTTTTTAGAGGCAAGGATGGTGATCTTTTGTGTCATGTAGTTTGGGAAGGTTGTCAGGACGGACCAATCTTTGGAAAAAGACACCAAGCTGGAGAAAGTGGAGGGCTAGCAAAAGAGAGTCAGATCTCAGAAGGATTGACACAGGGACTGGAACAGTTCGTTTGAGCATGGAAGAGATTGTGAGGATGAGAAAGGGGACAGGGTTTCAGTCTGTTGTTCACAGCACGTAACAACAAAATATTTTTGTTTTTGGAATCTGCATGACAATCATGTCGTTCAGGATTCCAAGGGGAAAAAAAGGTAAAGAATGAGTCTTCCCCCTCACTAGACACCCCCACCCCCCACCCCACCCTGCTAACTGGTGCTGCTGGTTATTTGGGGTCTTTCTTCCTCCCATTGATTAGCTTCCTGAGGGTCTCCCAGAATCTGTATTAGTTTCCAGGCTTTCTGTCTCACAATAATCTTTTTTTTTAAAAAATTTTATTAGTTTTAATGAACATTTACAGGGATTTTGGGTTTTCATTCCTTCATTGCTGCACCATTCTCTCT